AATTATTAATTTTATATATAAAAATAAGCAAACTTGCCTAATCTCAACCCATGTAAAATTCTTCCATTTTCTTTCTCGATTGCTTTTTTAATACTCTCTGGATTATCATATTGGATAAAACCAAAACTATTTTTAATAGATATTTCAAAAACTTCTCCATAAGGAGAAAAAATGTCATAAAGCTCCCTTTTGGAAGTTGAATGAGTGGACAAATTTCCCAAAAATAAACGAGATCCTGGAGGCAGAGCTTGGAATTCAGCATCTGTTAATTTATGCAAAGTAAATGGGGCCTTATTATGATTATAATTATTATTATTATTATTATTATTATAATTATTAACATTATTATTATTGTTATAATTATTAACATTGTTATTATTGTTATAATTATTAACATTGCTATTAATGCTATTATTATTAATATTATTATTTTCATTTGATCTTTCATTTCCTATTTGGGAGTTTGGAGAATGGTGATTACGAAACTTATGGTGATGCTCTCTATCAAAATTTTGATCAGTGTTATCTAGATTATTAGGTTGGGTATTCCAACTAGAACTAGTAGTATTGAAATTTTGTTGTTGTAAAGTTTGTTGTCTATGTTCAAAATTCACCAACTCTTCTTTGTTATTATTATCATCGCCATTATCATTAGCATCATTATTATTGACGCTATTGATTTGAGATTCATAAAGGTCAGACTCATTTGTAGAAACGTTTGTGTTGTTTTTAACTTCTTGAACATTGGTAGAAACAAGCTCCATATTATTACTTTCAATTTGAATATTGTTATTATCATCGTTTTTAGGCAGTGGTTCACTATTATTAATAAGTTCTTTTGTTTTGTCAATTATTTCTTGACTGGTGTTTTCATTTGGCACATTAATATGAATAGTTTGTTCATTTGATGGTGAGTTAGGCAATAGACTTTTGGATGTATTTTCAAATACGGAAATTTGCAAAGGCATTATTTCTTTTTGATTTTGGGTCGATTCTGAAGCCTCATCAAAATAATTCAAATTTTCTAATTTGTCATCCATTTTTTGATAATTCGTATCAATTTCTTTATCGCTAACAGTTGGATTTTTTTCAGTCATCAGGTCCTGTTGGGAAGAAATATCAGAACTAATAGAGGTTGATTGCATCACTGGAATATATATTTTTTTATTTTTTTTTTTTAAATTTTAAAAAAGATAATCATGTATTTTCCGCAAAAATTTTATTGGTGGGTTGGCATATTTAGAAATAAATTGGCGATCTCTGGATTTTTGCGGAAAAACCTCTTTTTTGGATCCAAGGTACATACCATTCATAATTTAATATTAAGACATATTTACCGCTAGCGGTGCATCTAATACCAATAGAGTGACATATTCAAGGGTCCTCATATGATGATTTATTAATATTAGGTATGAAATTTTTTAATTATCTATATACACTAATTACTATGCACCAAAAAATATCAATCAACTATGGGTGGCACACAATAATATACAGAGTTTTACGAAATTTTTTTGTGAACAAACATGGGTCATCGGATCCATTGGTGCGACTTTTTAACCATATTTAGTTACTAAGCAATTAAACTTGGTAAAACGAATTGTGATGATTTGGCCAATAAAATTAAATTTCACTCTTATTACTTTTAGTAAAAAATTTAAGGAAAAATGAAACTTTATTCTATCACAATATTTGCAACAGAACCTAATCAACCCGCCATTAATTTGGCTGGAGAATACGATCTTTCGAGTTTTGGTTTTTTTCAACGTTCAAGGTATGAATATACATGTCTATTGTTTTAAATATTATTAATGATTGCTTATAATAATTATATTATTTTTCATTAATAGTGCGCAAGAATTTATGACATTTTTTGCTAAAACAGTTGCAGAAAGAACCAAGCCTGGTCAAAGACAAAGTGTGGAAGAAAATAGTAAGCAATTAAAGTTGTAAAAATATACTTGTATAAGTTTATTATTAGCTTAGCTTATTATATTATCATTATTATTTTAGATTATGTATTTTATGCTTTCTCAAGACCTGAAGGTTTAACAGGCATAATTATTTGTGACAATGAATATCCACAACGTGTTGCATTCTCATTACTAAATAAGATTCTTGAAGATAGTCTTGTAAAATTCCCAAAACATACATGGAAATCAGGAGGAATAAATTATCCTGAACTTAAAAGCCATCTTGTAAAATATCAGGATCCAAAACAAGCTGATCAAATTATGAAAGTTCAAGATCAATTAGATGAAACTAAACTTGTCATGGTATATATATTGGGATTCTCCATATTCTTGTGTTTGTATTATTGTGTATATTATAGATGAATCTGATTTATTTTATTTTGACTGGTGCTATTAGAATAAAACAATTGAAACACTTTTGCAACGTGGTGAAAAATTAGATGATTTGATTGATAAGTCTCAAGAAATTTCTTTTCAGTCTAAAGCATTTTATAAACAGGCAAAAAAGGTTTGTAAATTAGACGAAATCAAATTTTTTATTTTAGAAAAAATAACTAATTAAAAAATTTTTTTTTATCTAGACAAATAGTTGTTGTGTGATTTCTTAGTGATAACAATATCATTATGATTATCAATGTTAATATTGCATTAGTATTTGTTAGAAATTTTTATTTATTAGATATAATAATATCAACAATTTTCAAGTATTCAATCTTTATTATCATCACCATCACTATCACCATCACTATTATTATTATAATGATAATTACAAAATAAATTTGCATTCTCACCAGAGTATACAAAGAGTTGATTTCTATACTAGGAGTAAATTATTATATGGATGAAAAATTTTTTTACACAACTCCAAATATATTGCATTATATTAATATTGATTGATATTAAATTTCAACTTTGTTTGATATCATAATAACAAAGATTAATTCTTCTTTCTTGCAATAAAATAATAATATTTTTAACTAATATTGTTATATATCACTCATTATATCCACTGTATGGATTCACCAGCCTGTTATTGCATTATAACTATGGCCTGATCTTGTTAATAAGCAACAGTATTGTTGCTATTAATCAACTAGATCTTTCTAAAGTCCCCCAACATTCTTTCAATGTGTTATTGTAGCCTTTTAACCAAGCCACACTTTTCCTCATCAGTCATAGCTTTGCTTTTTTTATTATTATCATTATCATTATAAAATAAAAAACAAAATACTATGCATATTGTAAGTCAAAGTATCCTTGACCAGGTTGTTTTAAATTTAAAGTTAAAAGTCATGACAACTGGGCGCTCTCTACCAGAGTGACAAAGAACACAATTATATTAGTAAAGAAATTTTGGACATGGATTCAATATGTATCACCTACTCACATCAGCAAAGTGCAAAACAATAATTTCAATTCATCAACATATCGAAACACAAATGGAGCTTTGGTTCAACTATCTCATTATAAATTTAGTGTGATTATTCAATGATAAAGTTAACAGGAAAAACTTAGCAGCAAAATTCACTCCAAATACAACAGTGCTTTTTTTAAATCAGACAACTCTCTCCAATTAGTTTGATGTGATTTCACAACAAACTTGACTTAACTCCATGATGAACATAAAATCAAGTCTGTTGTTGAAGCTGCTGCTTACAGCTGTAAAAGTAAGACTTTCCATCTTGAACATTGATAAAATGATTGAAATTTTTCAATGATTATGTTAATAACTTATCTTTTACTTACTACTATTGTCAAATGCTATACAATGTATACCATTTGACCCAAATAACACACTGCATTACCTTTATAATTTGAATGATATTCTAAAGACTTTCTTATATTTCATGCCTCACAACATGACCCATGCAATCTGAAATTTTTTCAATAGTTCTTAATCAATCAAAATTATCATCAGGTAATCATTATTACATGATGAAGACATATAAATTAAATGTTAAAAAAATTACTAGCTTCAATATATTTATTTACTACAGATTGATTGAAGGCTTCAGGCTTATGTAGAGCATTCATTTCGTTAATAGCCATAATAAGTTGAAAATAAATAAAAAATAATTTAATGATGATCAAATGAATTTGGGAACTGGCTTGCAAGCTAGCTAAGTCATTTAACTTCACCTGTGGAGACTAAAGTTCTTCACAAGCTGGTGGTGATCAAATGAATTTGGGAACTGGCTTCCAAGCTTGCTAGGTCATTTAGTTTGCATGCCAATGCTATCTCAGTCCCAAGGGGGTGGTGTATATATCAGTTTATGTAGGATCTAGGTGGTACACCACAGTTAGGGGGGTTCCTTTACATCTTATAGTAGAAAAGTTTATTAAATCTACAACCTAATTGATTCACTGTTAGATTTAATATTTTCTTTTATTTTGAAAATTTATGTGACATTATACAATCAGAAGGAGTTGCTATGAGGCTATGGAGCTATAACAGGTAAAATCATGAATAAAACAGCATATTACTAAATTTTTATCAATGCATTTTCTTATGTAGAAAGGACTTTTGGACTAGAATCCCAATTGTCTCATAAATTTTCATTTCTGCATAGTCTTAGTATAATTATTACTTGGATGATGCACTTAATTTATATTTAAGTGATTTGATTCAACTGAAACTTGATTCAAATTTAAGAAAACAGGATCCAATTTGGTTTGATTTGATTCCATATTCTTAAATTTCTTTTAATAGGGTTTATATTTGAATAAGGTTTATTCAAATGATTTGTTTTATTTGTTACATTGAATGTTTTTTTGAATAAAATGAACAAACAAATGAAATGAACAAAATGAACAAAATGAGCAAAACAAACAAATAAAATGAGTAAGAATTTGCATTACAAATAAAAACTCTACAATAAAAAGTAATATGATTTACAATTCATTGTTAAATAATAAATATAACAATGATGAATGATGATAATTGCATTGTTAAAAATGATGCACCTTCAATTACTTTTCAACAGGTGCAGTGTAATCAATGTGTTCAAAGAAGAACAAAAAAATGAAGTGTGGGAACTATACATGCAGCCCAAAGTATTTTGACACTGTCATAAAGGGGGTTACACATGTAGTAAAGGGGTGTTACACTTATGTTTTTAATAGTGAATGCCGTAATTAATTTCTACTTTCTACCATCAAAATTGGAATAATTTTGACCATCAAAATCACCAAACCAATTTGGGCTGCATGTATAGTGGGAACCATTTCAAAATTGTAGATGGAAAAGCCAAATGCAATTATTGCACTAAGTAAAAAAAATTTTTTTTGACTTTCAAAACCATTTATTTCAGTAGATGGTAACAATATATGTTGTATATTGTTACCTACTTATGAAAATTGACCACATTCAAGTGTGGCCCATTCCAAATTTTTGGCCGCATGCAAACTGTCATCAGGATAACAACATGGCTAATTTTTGTCATCAGGCCATATTCCTACAAGAAGTTTAGATACTTATTTCCTACTTATTTTTTACAAAACATACTTAAAACATAAGTCAAAACATACTTGAATCAAAAAAGATGATTCACTAATTATTTGCAAAACATGTACGAATATACTTATTTTAAATTATCATGTAGTTATCCACAAAAAATATCCGCAATCGCCAAATCGATTTCTAAATAAGGATAACACGCATCCAACCCACCAATAAAAATTGGATATTCTGAGGTTTCACGAAATTTGCGGATATTTTTTGTGGATAACTACACGATTATTCCTCCCTCTTCTTCCTTCAAATCCATTCTATCTTTCAAATGTTATGGCAACTGTTGTACCTTTTATAATGAATTCAAATAATCATAAATGCAGGCATATGTTTATGACATGCAGGTAATTTAATAAATAAAATAACATTCAAAATGTTAAATAATTTAAAAATAAAATAATTTAATAAATAAATATTATATGTTAAATAATTTAATAATATAAATAAATCAAGATCCAATAAATAAATAAATAATAATAAATCTAACTAATCTTAAGTAAGACTGATTCCTTTAGATTTGCACATAGACAGTGCTTTAGGATGTTGTTGTAAAGCAGCCATTTTCAAGTATCTTTTACCTTTCTCTTCATCCCTAACAACACCCAAACCATTATAATAAATATTACCTATATTATACATTGCAGTTATATTACCATTATTTGCAGACATTTGGAAATATTCTACTGACTGTTTGATATTTTTCTTTACTCCTTCACCAGCCCATAAACAATGACCATATCTTAATTGTGCATCTGGTATGCTTTCATCAGCTGCTTCTTTGAATAATTGAACTGCTTGTTGCAATCTTGTTTGTCTTGCATCATTATCATCTTTATTTTCTATTGGACACAAATCATAATATAAATAATATCCCATCCAATATCTGAATAAATAAATTTTAAATATTATGATAAGATAAAAAATAATATAATACACATTACAAATTTACCATTACTAATTCATTATAAATTCACCACAAACCCACATATAATTTAATTACAACACTTACTTGGCAAGAATATCATCAAAGTCTTCAGAATGTTGTTTAAATGCATTCCATGCCAAAGCTTTATCACCATTTTGTTTCTTATGTTCATTTATAGCTTCATGTATACTTATTATATTATCAGGTATCTCATTATCTATTTCCAATTGATTGATATCATCAATTGGCAGTTCATCATCTGTCAATTTGCTTATTAATGCAGGTCTTGGAGATGTTTGTGGTAGGTATCTATGATAAATGTCATTTAAAGTCATAAACATATCTTTAAGTGGAGGTCTTGCAGTTGGACTATCTTTGTAAAAATGTCAGACCTCTTGCAATATCAACAGCCAACTGAGATTTATAATGCCAATTAAGTGGTCCATTTAATTTGTGATACTCTGTCAAATTACCAAATTCACACCATTCAGTCACCAAATACATTATATCTCCATCTTGTGACACACCATAAAATTGACAAATGAATTGGGATTCTTTCAATTTTTTTAAAATAATAACCTGACCCAAAATATCTTTTTTGTCATCTTCTTTTGAAACAGGTTTTGCTTTAATTGCCACATCTTCACCCAATCGAACTTTTTTTATCACTTTGCCACGTCTAACTGGTTGAGGTGGATCATGTAATTCAGTAAATGGTATCTTTGCTGATCTCAATTCATCTTCATCACTGTTTAATAGTTGTTTTTGCCATAATATATTCAATTGAGAAATATCATCCAGTTTATCATTGATTTGTGATAATTTATCAGCAATACCCCCTTCAATTGATTTAAGATACTATATCAACAAATATAAGAATAAATATATATGTTTAATTACACACATATTCGCAAAAAAATTAATTATAAATAAAAAACTTGCATTTGTCATTTCCTCTATATCCTTACGAAGAGCTTTATTATCATCTTCAACTTGAATTTGTGTTTGAATAGCTAAACTAAAATTTAGAACACGCATTAATCCATCAAACTCATCAGTTAAACGTTTAAACCCATCCTCGATTGAATGAGCCAACAAAAATTTTCTTAGACCGTTAAGTTGTGAAACGTCAGCAATGAATTTCTGAATTTTCTTGATAACATTAACCAATTTCTGAAAATCTTTATAATATTGTTTTGACTTGAACAAATCTTCATTCTCAAGTCTACGTATTTTCAAAATGTTGACTGCATTTTCAGCAGTTGTAACTCTTGACAATAATGAGCCACATATACGTTTGTTATGTTCAGCTGTTTGATATAAATCTATTATTTCAGCTACAATAGCTCCAACTTCAGATATAAGTGGCAAAAAAGGTGCCAACGCATCAACTACTACTGCTGCTTCCTTTGATGTCGCTTTTAAAACATCTACTGTAACATTCACCGACCCTGACGCAATTTCAGCTTTGCTTGACATTATTTATAGAAAAAAATTTAATCGTAGCATCCATAATTAAACCAATACTAAAAAAGCAAGTTCGTGATACAAAAACTTTTTTTGATTAACAATCCAAAAATTTTGTTCTGAATCTGAAATTTATTCTGGGCAAAAGTATTGGAATTATTAACTGCAGCAAATCAATTTAGTATTGAGTTACTTTATGAATATATGTTGAGATATTTTAAAACTCATGAATTGAAAAATTTTGTGAATATAGTGAAAAATTATTCGAGTCAAGTGAATTTGAATCGTTGGAAAAACCAACTCTATTGGAAATTCTCAAAAAAGATGATTTTTCTGTTATTTCGGAAAACGTCTTTAAATGGGATTAGCAAACATCTAGAAATCAATAATATCAATCTTTGAAGGTTAGCCATCACAAAGCAACACATTAAAAGATTTTCTTTCTCTAATAAGATTTTAGGATATTTCCAAAGAGGATTTTTTTAATAAAATAGAACCATATCAAATGCTTTTTCATATGGTTTTATGGAAACCCACTTTACTTTATTATTTATTTCCTGATAAACAACAAAAATTAAATTTATTACCATCAAGAAATCCTAAATTTGAATCATTGACAACCAACCAAAATCTTAACTTGCTTTTTGCAAGTTGGGTTGATAGAAAAAGTCGATCATATACTTCACTCAGGGAAGTCAAATATGAATTCAAACTTTTATATCAAAGTAGTAGAGATGGCTTAAATGCAACTACATTCCATCAAAAATGTGATGATATCAATAAAACTCTTGCAGTTGGCAAAATACAAAATTCAGAGAAAATAGTTGTGGCTATAATCCACTTAATTGGAATAAAAGGGGATATAAGAATACAACAGAAAGTTTTATATTTAATATTAGTAATAGAAATGATGTTAATACTGCACCATTTAGCTATGTTATTAATAATCATTATAGGATGCAGTTTATTGTAGAACTTTTTATTTACCTGATTTTGGTAGTGGTTCTCCTTTTTTTGATACAGATGGTAATATTCATAGTGAACTAGGTGGTTATAATAACATCAATATAGTAGATGGAGTAGATTCGATGAATTAGAAGTTTTTCAAATAATTGATAAAAAAGTAAATACAATGTTAGATTATTAATTTTATTATTATATTCTCTTTATAAATTTGTTTACATAATAACATACATGTTAAATGGAAAGTTATTCTATAATTTCGGAGGTATTAAGATCCCTTCTTATTTTATTTAATATTAATGAAAATGAAAGATTTTTATGATGTAAAAATACATGTTGGCATATTAAAGAAACCAATCATCCTTCCAGCCATCCAATAGGAAGTTTAATAAAATCTTTGACCAACTTCAATATTGTAAATTGAACTTAATAGAAATTACTGCTCTTTCACAACCAGATGGAAACTATTACATACTTCTATCAAGGTGGGATTAAATATAAGCCATATTCTCAAATTGATCAGTTATTGTTAGCATCATTATGATTTGATGTTCCAAAAATTACTGGGCTTGACTTTTTGCCAAATTAATAAAATGATTTTTAACAACAACACTAACAGTTGTACTCTATTGTTCTAATAATTGAATATTTTTCTTCAGCTTGATCATCTGGAACAATAATCCATGCATTATATCCTTTTGCACGTGAAATCATTGCAATAGATATTCCTGTTGAACCTCACATTCCTTCAAATATTGCACATCCTGTGTTTGGTTTAATTAATCCTTTTTCTTCTGTGATTTTAATCATATTTAATGCTAATGATTTTTTGAGCTACCTCCTGGACTAAGAAGCTTTGTAATATATATGATTACTTAATGTATGTATATCAATTAAAAAAGCCCCAATGTTTTTAGGCTGATTTTTATTTGAAAAAATAATAATAATATAAAGTTGATGATAATATACCTCAGCTTTTCCCTTAACAAATGCAATACAAATATTTATTATTTGTTGAATTAAAACAGTAATAGTAAAAGATCATGCATAATATTGATTAATTACCAAGATTTCACAACCAATAGCTTTACTCAGACTTTAATTTTCACCAAAGGTGTATCGTCTTCATCTTCTTTGCTAATATGTTGTCACAGTATGTTTTTGTCAGTTTGATAATTTTATTATTATTATATTGTTATACCAATTTTTATGAAATTGTTATGCAGATCAAATCTGAGCGACTTATTTTCATTTATAATTATGTATTTTATAATAAAAGGGGCGGGCATGCTTACAACAAAACCCAACAAAGCGAAGATTTGTGCTACCAAGAATTCCAGTCAGTGCTCATAATTGCTTAACATAGAACTAATCCTATAAATAAAATATAAATATGAAACTCGTTCACGTCAGATTCACCATGGAGTCCAAGAATTATAGTACATTCAGAAGAAATAACAAGGTGAAAATTACCCCTTATGTTTTCAGAGCAAATGATACTCAGACACTTGAAATTTATCTAAGGAAAGAAGAATTACCTATGAAATCATAACTAATAAAAGAATGTTAACACAAAGTCATGAAAGACCTAAATTAATTTACTACCTAACTTAGGTTAATTATCAATATAGGTGAGCATATGTAATATTATCTTTTTTAAAGATCAATAAGTGACAAATGTGGATAATTTTTGTCTAGTCGTGTATTAACTTTATAATACTTATCTAATAAATTAGAACAAGATTTAGCTAGCGCCTCTGCTGATTTTATAGGAATGGTATTTGCTAACTTGTTCATATCTTTCACTATATTATAATTAAGAGGAAAGCCATCGGTTTTCAGTGTGATGGTTAGGAGGATTACTGTGCCTGGAACCAATGGAGGGCTGGCTACGTTTACTACCATCTAATCTCATAGTATTACCTCTTGAATAAAATTTACTGATAATTAGTTAGAAAATATTGTAGTAAATCATTGTATGATAACGGTTTGCAGATGGAGGTATGTGTATTTTCATATTTTATATTTTTAATATTTAAATATGTTGTTTAATGTATGATTTATTATAGATCAATGATTTGAGATACATTGTTGTGGTGATAATAATTTTATTTTCTAAATAATTTTTTTTAAAAATTAAACATGTAATTAACATGCGAATAATATGTTGTTAGAATAAATAATTTCCACAAGATCATCATTGGTTCTTCTAGAATCAACAGTCCACCTTCAAGAATGTAATGAATTGATACTAATAAATCATTTTTATATAGTTTCTTATTATTAACAATTTACTATTTACTAATTTATTTCACATGATATTTATTAATTTATAGCAAATCCTTCAGCTTGGTCATTAACGCAAAGATTTGTGAATTTATTCTTGGCAATTTAGATATTTCGTTTTCAAATTAATATCTAATTAACATGATGTCGATGTCAATGTCAGTGTCTTGCTTATCCTATTATAAAGAGGATATTATATCACGTTCTTTATATAAGAAAATCAAATTGTTTCTTTTATTATATATGTTTATAACATATATTTACATTATACAAATTAATAATATATAAATATTATTGATTGATTTTTAGTCTTGTCTCACTTTCTGAACAACAATCATCAACTTCAAAAGTTTTCAAAATCACAACTATAACATCAAAAAAAGCATTGGATTTTATCATGTGTACATTTAATGACCATTTATGATGGTCACAATTCAATTATTACTAAACTAATTCAACTATGAAAAGGCACATAATTAATTAGTATATATGTATAAATATATAAATATTTATATATTAAATATATTAAGACTATTGTAATCAAGGACTCATGATATTAGTCTAAAAAAACAACATCTTTTTATAATATAGGATGGTCAAAATATTGAAAGAGAAACTTTTATAGAATGTAATTATTATTATACACAACGCTTATAAGAATATCATTAATTTTATTGTTATCGTCTTATCTAGTTAATATTCTTGCAAATTCAAGAGATGAGATGTTATTGGTCATTTTGGATTTATTAGGTAAAAGATGTAAAATCTCTTAGATTTATAAATAATATTAATATTTAACAATCTACTAACTTAATTTATAATGTTGGATAAAAGCAAAATTTAATGGCGAGAAATCGTCTTCATCAATTAATTATCATTGATTTTGAATACTTGTTGTTGGGTTTAGTCAGTCACGAAGCCTCAGTCTAAATTAAATAATAATAAAAAACGATGATTCAATGAAAGAGAAAGGAATTGAGGTGATTTTAAATTTGATTTTGATTTTGATTTGCGTATGTATATTTATTTTTACATATTTATAGATTTTTGTAATGATTACATTAAACTGATAATCGAGTAAGTCAAAATTGTCCATCTTTTAACTTCTTAAAGTTTATTATTATTATTACTTATTAATATCATTGATATTATTATCATCATCATGTGCTATTAGTATATTTGATATGGTAATTCATCTTAGAAAATCGTTGGATTAAATTTAAATGACTCGTTGGCTGACATATGTTGGATTATCATCAATCAAATAATAATAGTATTAATGCATTGCCTTTGATGAATTTAAACATGTAATAATTAATTTTAATTAATATCTATGGATAATTTGATTGATTTATTCAAAGTTTATTACAGTTGCAAGTAGGATCGAAGTAAAGTAAATATCAATTCTATATAACCATTTATCATATAATTTAATTTCCATTCATTATCATTATAGTTGCATATCACCAATTTTATTATTAATATGTTTGTATAGATTATCAACAGAGTGTAAAGATCTCGTAAATATGCTGTAAACTTAAAGGAGCCAGTCAAGGTTTTGTTTCATCGACTGCATTACTTGAGATAATAAAAAAATATTTATTAAATTGATGATTTTTTTATAAATTCATATTATAACAATAATATTGTTATTATTACTATTTTTATTATCGCCTTAGAGCCTTGATTACGTTTGACATGCAAAGGTTCTAATTCATATACAGTATATGTATTGCATTTGTATTTGTATTTATACATGTTTGAGCTATTATTAATAATATTTTATTTTTAATAGTTATGTCTTCGTAGTGTATGAATTATAGATGATATGTTAGCAAGTATTATTGTGATAGAGGAAACTTTGATGGTTAAATATGGATTAAAAGCTTCCGTCCTCCATTTTCTGATGATCAAGAGAATGTATATAATTGTATAATAAGGATTCATCCCTAAACAATTCATATCATCAAATAATTGTTATAATTACAATAATGGTAATGATCAAGGTTGAATAATAATAAGGATGATGATGGTAATGATGATAACAATGATGAAGAAATGGCAAACATGTATCAACATTTAGTCTTACAATCTTTTGGAAATGAACAACAAAATTATAATAGTAATCAAGATGATGGAGATGAGGGAGAAAGTGATCATGATGATACATTAAGTGAAAAGGTTGATTGAGATCAACTTGAACCAATAATTAGCCATATATTATAGATAATATTAATTTATAATACTTAATCAAAACACACAATTATAAAATTCCTATAAATAAATAAAATAACAAATATAAAATTGACATTATATATATATAATAATATTATCATTATTATTATCGTTATTAATATAATTATTTTAATTAAAGGTCAGCAATTGATTTAAGTGTGGCATCAAGTTCTTCTTTAACTGCTTTAAACTCTTCAGATTGTTGTTCAAGTGCTTTTTCTAATTCGAATTTTTCAGATTCAAGCTGATGAACTTTTCTTTCAAAATGTTCCGATTTTACATCTGTTTGACGTAATCTAAATAGTAACAATTATCATGATTATTAAATATTCATTTATGAATATCACACTCTCACATAAACTTACTTTTCAGTCGTCTCTCTTAAAGTCTTCTCGGCATTATCTAATTCTTTTTCAAGTAAAGCATTTTTTCGTTGAAGTGATTCAGTAACACTTTTACTATTTTCTTCTTCATCCTTTGCAAGTTTAATATCCGAAAGTTTCTTCTCCGCTCGCTCAAGTTCCGCTTCTAAAAGTGTTATTTTATTTTGATGTGAAATGATTTCTTGTTCTTTGGCTATTATTTCTTCATTTGCTTTCTTTAAATTTGCTTCTGCCTCCTCGGCTCTTTCTGTTGCATGATCTGCTTCAGCTCGGAGTGAATTGATTTTCTACAAGATGTTAGATTATGAAAGAACGAAATAGGAAAAAATAAATAAATAAGGTTATATTTATATATTTATATTTCTTCTCTTAATTATCTTGGTCTTTGTTAACTAATGTCAATTGTTCGAACCCTTGGGTTACTTGGATTAACAACAATCACAATCCAAATTATAATCTTGTAATATTAGGAAAATAAAATTTATTTGGTAAACCTACATCTTTAAATTTTTCCATTATTTTAAAAAGTAGTGGTGATAAGAATAATATAGTAGTAAAGGTGGTGGTGGTTTGTTTGTGCGTGTAACATGAACTCTTGACACATGATATTATTCCAAAATTTTAGAGCGAAGGCCACTTGCATAAATTTTTGATTGATTGATTTAAAAATGCGCCAATAGGGTACGGTGGGAATCTTGTATATAGTATAAATTTTTTATATCATTTTAAAAAAATTGTCCATGACTTGAGCTTCAAAACTTATCAGCTAGTTTTTTCTTGAACATTTTGAAAGCTCCAAATTTTATTATACACTTAAAAAGGCAAGATATAAACATCATTGTAACAATGAAACACCTTTTTAATAATAAATATATAATTTTTATCGTGAAGACCTTTATTTTGTGAAAAAATAAAAAAACCTTATCCAATCAGAATACTTTGTCGAAATTTTAATATACACGTGATTTTCAACTCTGAATAATTTGATTGACAAAGAGGTTCCTAAAAAAGGGTAACTTCATAAAACGGCTTTTTGAAAATTTTCTTAACAGTTTTAAAATTTTTGGATTCTTCTCATATTCATCCTTGCCACTACTACTATCCATATCCTTGCTATCCTAACCATCCACTCACATCTCTTTAAATACATCTCACTTTGTTGATTGTTTGTTAATCCTCCTAGCATTATGATATTAGTTGTTTAAAAACTCAATTAATTTTTCTTGTCAATTTCAGATTTAATTGTTACCAAATATTTTTTCATAATGTATAGTGGTGCAAGTTTCCTCTCTCTTCACCACATAGACTTCTAAAGCTGTACTTGCAATAAGATTGTGTTGGTTGTGTTAGAATTTTTAATATAAATAAATAAAATATCAAAAGAATAACAATAAATAATACTACCATGAGAGAAGCTTCAGCTAATTTAATAATTTTATAATGTATCATCTTATCATCATTGATATATCCAAGTTGTTTAGATTTGCAACAAATGAAATCCCACAAATCCTTTCAGAACCTTCTGAGTTTCCCTTTATCCTCTTCAGTGCATTTCTCAATGACCATTTGACCCTTCCAAATATAATATCTCATAAAAAATTGCTTGATAGGTGAGCTTTCTATCATCCATAAGTTATTTGGCCCTGCAAGGCAGAGAAAAGGATATGTTCTTCCCTTGCCTCCAAAAGAAGAATTGCTTTAAGGGCTCTAAACAGTCAACCAAATCAATAATTACCTTTAATTTACATCCTTTTTGTTGGCTGATTTGATTGACCAGGAGTATAGATGAAGTCGAAACACTTTGACTTAAGGCAACTACATAGTAAAAATCAGTTTCAACCTTATTTCGACCCTATTTTGACCAGATCTGCAAATGGTCAAAATAGTTTTGACTACATGTATAACTAGGAGACAGTTGAGTTAATGTTGTTATTTGTCATCAATTTTTTTTTATTGTTAAATTTATATAAAGGATTAAATAAATCATCATATCTATGCTAAATACATTAATCAACACCAGTCATGTAATTCATTCATTTTATGTTGATCATGTTATTCTTGGAATGGGATGATATAATTTCTTATTGGTTTCTAGACACATACCATGTCTAAATTTAGTATGATTTGAAATTCTGCAACCTAGGTTACAACATTCTGAGTTGCAGACTTCTATATTACAGCACTTATGTTCTAAATTCTACCAGTTGTAGACACCACTTCACTTGAAAAGCAGAGGAGAACTAATCAATACACAATTGAAATTAAATTAAGATTGAAGCCCTATAAAATAGCATCCTAACTTTTAAAATTTTAGTCAGAAAATGTATGGTTTTTCTATATATTTCTTGTGCATTTTGTATGGAATATTTATGGAATTATACATGAAAAGAGTGCTTTTCCATACATATTTGTGCTGGAAAATGTATAATTCTGTACATATTCCATACAGAATATGTGGGAAAAACCATACATTTTCTGGCTAAAATTTTTATAGAGTTAAAGAAAGTGCTTTTATGGTATTATTAGGGTTTTTTAAGTAGTTTGGAAGATGGTTAAAATTGTGATATCCAAAAATCACATGCAGAAGAAAAAATTGAAGAATCAGAACCAAACAAGGCATTGCTTATCAAGGATTCTTTGATAAATATGACCACACTCAGTTATTTAGTAACCAAGTTTATTACTTGTTCAAGAATAGAGGTTGGCACCACGCAAAAATTCTTTAACTGGTTAATTAACCATTAAAATTAAGAGTTATCTGGTTAACTGATTAATTTTAGAAACGGTTAACCAGTTAACTTTATTAACTGATTAACCAGTTAATTTAGTCATGTGGAATTTTTTAACTGGTAAATTCAATCATTCATTACTTACAAAGTAATCACACATCTGTTGAATTTTATTATTACGCACTTAATAGATTACAGTCAAACCTCACCATAGTAATAATGGATTCATGGCTCCAGCCAAAAAAATCTGTTATTATTATTATTATTATTATTATGACAAAATTGTTGATCAGGCAAAATTTTTTTAATAATACAAAGCTCTCACTATATACCAAACCCCCTGTCCATTATATGTATTCTTCTTTTGTTCATTATAGAGAGGTTTGGTATAGTGTAATAAATTAATAAACTAATACAATGAATAAATGAATAAATGAATAATACATATATGGAAATGAAAACTATTTGTTAAATAAGATGTAATATTTGGTTGTATTAGTTTTCATTATCTAATAATTTCACTTTTTCAATGGTTTAAGTGCTTTAAATTCTTTATAATCTATTTCTAAATCACCTTGTTGAAGAAAATTAAAAGCTGTCTCAAAGGAAATTACGGCATCTTTCATTGAAACTTTAGACATAGTGTTACTCTCAACAAATATTATATTATTAACATCATTTTGAAATCTCTTCAACTATATATTTCTTGAATTTTCAATTTCATTATTAGATATTTCATTTTCCAAAGGGAAAATTGCAGTTTTCTTCTATCAATTTTGATAATTTGGACATTTATATGTCACGTGAATCTGCTGTAGCCATATAGAGAGACCCCATCAAAAACCTGTGGAACAAATTTATTATTATTAGTAGAATCTGTTATTATTATGACAAACGGTTTAATTAATAAGGGGACAATACTCAAATCCATTGTAACAAGAAATGTGCTGTGGCGAGGTCTGCTATGACGAGGTTTGACTGTAATATATAAAAAAAAATTAATAAATGGTGGTTAACTGGTTAATCAAAAAGAATTAACCGGTAAAAAAAGATCTTAACTGGTTAACCGTTTAATTGCAGTTAACTGGTTAACCATGGTTTAATGGTTAATGGTGCCAACCCCTAATTCAAGAAAATGAAAGTAGAAAAAAAGGGAATGAAGATTTAAATACTATAAAGGTAAAATGAAGCAATTGGAAAAAACAGAGATAGGGTATTAATAGATATATTTGAAATTTTTTTTTAGTTGATTTGAATACTGGTTTTACTTGACTAGATAATGTGTATGATGACTATGGATGTTAACAGTCTGGTACAGACTAAGACTGGCCAGTCTATGCTTGGAGCAAACCAGATCATCAGACTTAAACCTCAGTCCAGACCACAGCCTTAGGAATGTGGTCCTAAGTATACATGTGGTAGAAATAGGTTGATCACTTGATTAAGTCAGGTGACTTTTGATGCAATTAATTGAGTCAGATATATATAATTAAAAGTTAAAATTTTAGGAATTGAGTCAAAGCTAAATTAATTTTGACAATAATTCTAAGATCATTAAGTGGTGTCCACCGATCAATAGAAATTTAATATGCAGATCCGAGATATTAATTTATTATTATTATTATTATACAGTCAACCCCCTCTAAGTGCATGCTTTCATTCATTTCCAAGCTTGGGAATTAGAGATAAGTGCACACCCCCTTCCCCCTGCACTGCACAGTCTTTTTTCATTCCCATCTATATAAAACTCACCCTCTAAGTGCACTCCCGTGACTTCACGTGATCTTTGTCCAATAAAAATTGTACAATGCTATTAAATTAAAATACTTTTAGCAAAAAAAAATGGATAAAGAATTGATTTTTTGTAAGAGATGATAAAGAATTAAATTTTGTACTTAGCAAATAATAATAAAGAATATAAAGAATTAAATTTATTATTAGTAAAAGGTAAAGAATTAAATTTATTAGTATGACAGAATTATTTTGTAAGAGGTGTTCATTTTTATTGAGTGACAGGGAAATAAAGAATTCTTTTTTTTTCAATAGATACAAAGATTATTAAAACAAAGTACAAGAATGTAGACAAAGAAGCTTATGTAGTTGAAATTATTATAAATAGGACATGAATAAAGAATTTTATTTAATAACTAAACTCTTGTAACCAACTTTAAAAATAAAACTTCTATTATAAATTAACTTTATCATTAATAAATTAAAAATAATATATATTTTTACATAAACAACCATCTAATTTTTGCACTCACTCATCTCATTAAATATTTTATTCTTTTATTGCTTCTAAATAAAATGCTTCCAAAAAGAGTAACTTTATCTAATTCTCAAAAATATGAATTTTGTTTATTCTAGTCAACAAATAAAACTGGTTAATTCTCTTGATAGATATATTGGTTTGAAACAATAAATACAATGAAGCAAACCATAATAGAATCTTATCTTAATCTATAATTATATAAAATTTTTTTTTAGTGATAATGATGTTATAATTAATTAATTAATAAATTTTTATTCTTTATTGGTGTCATGTGCAACCAATGAAATGCTTTGTTTCTCTAAGTGCACACCCCTCTAAGTGCATGTTATCACTCATTCCCAAGGGGGGTGCACTTAGAGGGGGTTGACTGTATAGTAAATATTGATAATCAAATAAAAGATATTATTAAAAGAAGATGGGAAAAAATATATGATCCAGTAATGTTAGTTGCTTATCTTCTTAATCCTAGGATTTCTGAACATAAATTGCCCGAAGAAGGCATGACTTTATTGTCAAATTTTATTATCAAATATTATCCCAATGACTCTATTAAAATTTGGGAACAATTTTTATAATATAAAGCTTGTAGTGGTATATTTGGAAACTCATTGGCATGGGTATCTATCAATAATGTGGATTTATTAACCTGGTGGAAAGGCAATTTTGGAGCTGTGGCACCCAAATTGACAAAAGTTGCAGTAAGAGTCCTTTCTATTCCTACCTCATCAGCTGTAGCAGAAATGAATTGGTCTACATTTTCTTATATACATGATAAAAAACGAAATAAATTGACAAATGATCGCATTTTTAAATTAGTTTATACAGTCACTGGAAAAAAGTATCGCTTCACCTGATGATCGGTGAAAATAATTGAATAACTCCAGTGATATAAAAAGTCATTATTTTACTAATCAAGTCGATGTTGTGTAATAATAAAAAAATCTTTTTCATAATGAATTCTATAACATGCTCAAGTTCCACAATATTCAATTAATTATTGGTAATTTTATAATCTTTAAAAGACAAAAAAAAAATTTCCAGAAATTTTTCAAAAAACTTTAGATTAGAGCCAACTTTAGATGTCATGTTTTAACACATTTTGGGAGCTTATTAAATGTTGTTTCTTTTGTCTTCAAATGTATAATTATAAAACTTCACAATTAATTGTCAAATACTGGTCAAGAATCGAATTGAAACGTAAAAATGACTAAAAAAAATAAATGTGCTATATACATTTAAATTTTTTTTTTCACAAAATATTGTTATTCGTTTTAACGTTTTTTTAACTCTTATTTTTTAATCAACAACACAATGACTC